CCAAGAAGAGAATGGAGAACTCCTGCTGTAAAAGTGGTGTTGTACCGACTGGCCTGCGCCTCTCATAAGCCTCCCACCATCAGAAGGCGGCCCTAGTGAACTGAAAAGTAGTGAACGAGACCCCACTGGTCTCCAAAATACCTGCTATATGAAGAATCCTCTAACACTTGTCCAAGAAACCCTAGGCATCCTCCAACTCTACCCCACTGAAAGATGGAGGCTAGAGCCTCTCGAAATTCTCCAATCTCCTCTACTCATCATCAGTCATAACAGGGACCACATGGGCCTGAGCAGCTCCAACCGGCTGGGCTGGTAGTGCCCCCGGTGTCTGGAGACCCTGCATCACCTGCTCTGGTGTACGAACGGCGGGAGTCTGAGTACCTCCCCCAGCCTGAGAAGTGGCTGTTGCGGCCAGAATAGAGACCGCCTAAGCAAGACTGGTGCACACAGTCAAAATCTGAGCTAAAGCCTCCTGAAGGCCTGGAATCACGATGGCACAGCTGGTTCCTGAGCTGGCCCCACTGGCTCATCCACAACTGGAACCTGCTCGAGAATTGGGGCAACTGGTAGGTCTACAAGTGTTGTCCTAGCTGCAATACGAGCTGCACCCCTGCCCCTACCGTGGCCTCTACCACGACCTATCGCGACCCTAAATGGTGCTACTGGTGGCTGTCCATCCTGTCCAGTAGTACGTTTTCTCACTATCTGTGAGAGAATAGAATAACAAAAGTTTATTACCGGAATCAACAAATCCTCACGACAAGAATACAAGAATGTGAAGTTTCCTAAGGGTTCGAGAGCCTCTCAACGATAAGTATAGACCTCTCCGTACCGATTCGCAAGACTCTACTAAACCTGCTCATGACTCGTGAGACCTATGTAACCTAGGCTTTGATACCAACTTGTCACGATCCAAATCCTAATCTGTCGTGATGGCGCCTATCGTGGTACTAGACAAGCTGACATTTATGAATAACTCTAACACTTATAACAAAAAAGATTTTTAAAGCAGTTTAAATAGCAATTTCTCATAAACAAGATAGAAAGATCCAAACAAAACACGGAAAACTCCCAAATTGGGGTGTCACAGAGTACATAAGCATTTATATGTCACAAGTCTGGAATACACTGTCTAAGATAGTCCGAAACTAAATACAATAAAAGAAAAGATGGGAAAGGAGAAACAAGGACTGTGAACGCCGGGCAGCTACCTCGAAATCTCCAAAGGTCAACTGTGCAAAGTATCAACACCCACCGTGTCTGAAAATACCTGGATCTGCACACGAAATGCAGGCTGTAGCGTGAGTACAACCAGCTCCGTAAGTACAAGACTAAATAAGGAACTGAAGATAGTGACGAGCTACACATTTATAGTTCAATTTCAGTAGTCTCAAAAAAAGAAAAATAAGCATGCTGTCAAATCTGGCAATTTAAATTAAATCAGTTTATACATGTCAAGTTCGAGTAAAATTGGTTATAATATCTCTCAGATATTTCAAAGTAGTGATATATTGAAACTAAGTGCAACAATAAGGAGATCAAATGCATCCTCTCAAAGCAACGAATCACTCAGTCCTCCCATTCACTCCAACTTCACAATCACTCATTTTCCCACAGTCACTCATTCCTCATATTCACTCATTCCTCTCAGTCGCTCTGCACTCGGCACTCGCACTTTGTAGGTACCTACGCTTACTGGGGGGTTTACAGACTCCAAAGGGGCTCCTTCAGCCCAAGCGCTATATCAAGCCAATCATTGCATAAATTAATAAAACATGTTGCGGCGTGCAACCCGACCCATAAATATCCTCACAATCAGGCCCTCGGCCTCACTCAGTCATCAACCTCTTCAGTCTCTCGGGCTCTCAATAATCATGAAAATCAGCCCAAACAGCAATGATATGATGTATCAACAAGGAAATAATAGAGACTAAGATATGATATACGAGTAAAACTTAGACTGAGTACAAATATCAATTAGCATGTAATTCAACATGTAACACGGCCTCTATGGGTCCCAACAGTACAACACATAGCCTAAACATGATTTCTAAAATGATTTACAGTCAAATTTCGATAACACATTGAGAGCATATAGCTAACAAGTTATTCAGCTTTCCATTTCCACGGAATAGACCAAGTCATAATTCCTACGGTGCACGCTCACACGCCCGTCAACAAGCATGTGCGTCACTTCCAAGCCAATCACATAACACATAATCTAGGGTTTCATACCCTCAGAACCAGATTTATAACTGTTACTTATCTCAATACGTGCCAATCTCTACTCCAACACACCTTTGTCTCGCGAATTGGCCTCTAAATGTCTCGAATCTAACCATAAACAATACGATATAATCAATATGGGCTAAAGGAATCAATTCCACAAGAAAATAGGATATTATAAATCAATAATCCAAAATTGGCTCAAAGACGGCCACCGGGACCACGTCTCGAGATCCAACAAAAGTCACAAAACCCGTAAGCCCATTCAACCACGAGTCTAACCATACCACATTCATCAAAATCCGACACTAAATCGCCACTCAAATCCCCAAAATCAACTCTCTAAATCCTTAGCCTCCAACCCCTCAATTTCACCTCAAAACCACATAATCTAGGTGGGAAAATTGATGGGGAAACAAGATTATTGATTAAAAACGAGTACACAGAGCTTACCTCAAGAATTCCCTCGAAAATCCTCTCAAGAATCGCCAAACCCCGAGCTCAAAATGTTAGAAATGGTAAAAAATCTTGGAACCCACGTTTTTAAATAGTCTGCCTAGCAATCTTGCTTCTGTGGCCAACTTAGCCGCTTTTGCGGCTTCGCAGGAGCGACGCAAAACCCTCTGCTTCTGCGGAGCGCAGCTCCACTGCACTATTCCGCTTCTACGGTCCTTCTGCCGCATCTGCGGTCACGCAGGTGCAGGAAAGCCTTCAACCTGCGACCACCTACTCACTTCCCTTCAAACTCTGCATCTGCAGACCTCACTCCGCACCTGCGACCGAGGCTCCGCAGGTGCGATTACACCAGCAGTCCTCAACTGCAGCAACTTCTCCAATTCAACTCTTGATCCGTTAACCACGCATAATCAACCCGAGGCCCCCGGGACCTCAACCAAATATACCAACAAGTCTTAAAACATCCTATGAACTTAGTCGAGCCTTCAAATAACGTCAAACAATATTAAAAACACGAATCACACCCCAATTCAAGTCTATTTAAACTAAGAAAATTCAACTTCTATAAATGATGCCGAAACCTTTCAAATCACATCCGAATGACCTCAAATTTTGCACACAAGTCATAATTAACACCACGGACCTACTCCAACTTCCAGAATCGGAATCCAACCCCGATATAAAAAAGTTCATCCCGGTCAAACTTCCCAAAAATTCAACTTTTGCCATTTCAATCCTAATTCCATTACGGACATCCAAATCACAATCCGGATATGCTCCTAACTCCAGAATCACCTAACGAAGTTAATGGAACCATCAAAACTTCATTTGGAGTTATTTACATATAAGTCAACAATCGGTCAACCATTTCAACTTAAGCTTTCCATTATGAGACTAATGTCTCAATTCATTCCGAAATCTCTCCGGGCCCAAACTGACTAACCCGGTAAGTCATATAACAGCTATAAAGCGCAAAAGGAGCAGTAAATGGGGGAATGGGGCTACAACTCTCAAACCTACCAGTCGGGTCGTTACACAAAATAAGAAGATCAACACGGTCAAATATCAACTCCTATATAAAGAGATAAAAAAACTTGAAGACATTTCTGTAACTTTATCAAGGTTTTCATATTTTTAGTTCTTAATTAAACACTGTATTCTTGAGTTTACTAGTATCATAAAAATATAAAGAGAAAAAGAAAACAATTGAGAGGTTGAGTCATCACTTGTAGTTGAAGCAGAAAAGTTCAACAGTTATAACACGGTGGTAGTGAACAAAGGAAAGTCACAAAACCAAGTTGTAACACAATTCTATTGAAGATGTAAGAGAATTCTAGTAACCCAAGAAAATTGATTGTAGGTATCACATCAGTACTCGAACCAATATAAAATTACTATGTCTCATTTAGTTTTAGTTCTTTATTTATTGCTTAGTTATCTATTACTCGCTCTGTTCCAATTTATGTGAACCTATTTTCTTTTTGGTCCATTCCAAAAAGAATGAACCCTTTCTAAATTTGGTAACAATTTAGCTTAAACTTACAACTTTACCCTTAATGAGAAGCTTTTATAACCACACAAATACTCTGGGGCCCTTTGAACTTGTTTAGGACCACAAATTCTAAAAATCTTTATTTTTTTCTTAAACTCCGTGCTCAGTCAAACAGGTTCACATAAATTAAAACAGAGGGAGTACATTAATTGCTTGCGGGAAAATTGGCCGACTAAAATACAATCTAATTAACTTAATTTTAAATTATATACAATTCATCCATTCTTATACTCTCATATATGTGTCATTACTAAAAATTGGAAGGAGTGACTGGAATCTCACAAATTCTCATGTCCATCCAACGAACTCTTGACTCCAATGTGTTGCAGGAAATATAGAATATGTAACATGTAAATTAGTAGTAGTATTATATTTCCTATTTCTTAATTTTATTTCTAAAAAGAAAGAAAAAGAAAATCAAAAGAAAAAAGAAAAAGAGCCAATAAAATTTTGACACATGGTAGGACACTGTGGGATTTTGGACATAAGAATGGTAAAATTTCAAAACGTAGTGAAAATTTTTTTCAAATGAAAATGATATTTAAAAATTAGAGTTGTATTTGGATATGAATATAATTTTGGTTATTTTGAAGTTTTGTGAATGATCTTAGTGAAATTTTTAAAAAATAATTTTTTAGAGTTTTCTAAAATTCATGTGTGAATATTAAAAATTTTATGGTCAAACAATAATTTCGAAAAAAATAAATAAAGTTCGGAAATTCTCACGTCCAAACGGACTCCTCTCTTCTGAATAACTTGGCAACAACTCAATTCACACACATGCACCTTTACAGTTACACGTTGCACTCACACCTCACATTCTCGCCACCTCCACTGTACAATTGACATTTACCAATTACACTCCACCACACACACACACAGTGTAACTATCCATCACTACTCAGATCTAAACGGAAGGGCAAATCTAGCTAACGAGGCTGCCCATCGAAGCTCCTGCCAGAGGCCGTTTCGTCTAATTTTTGATGGAATTCTCTATTAAAGGTCCATTTCTCAACCTCTCTTTTTTGTTTTAATAGGTTCCTGTTGCTTGTATGATTTTACTTGTTGTTCAGATGAAGTGATTATATGTGATGCTTTGTGAATAATCTGAAGTTCCTTAATGTTTGATTATCCGATGGAATGCATTTGGTTTTAGTAACTAGTCTTTTGATTATTAGTTGTTCAATTTGGATAGATAATCTGTTGCTTAAGCAATTTCACTAATTAAAAGGCAAGTGGACCATTAGCTGAATGGAATAAATTGGGCCCTGAGTTATTAGATATGCACAAAAGAGTTTGGGCTTGGTTTAACTGATATTAAATGTGCACAAGAGGTTTGGGGTTAGGTTAGAGGGGGCATTTGTATTTATACCCGCTTTTTGTGTCACCCGCTTTGCAAAAAAAATTGCAAGCATACCCGCTTTTTCGCATAACTTCAACATACGGGGCTGAAGTAGCAAAGACAATCACGCAAAACTTCAGCATTCTAGTAGCCGGGCCTGAAGTTCAGCTCTAGAGTTGAAGTTTTTGTTTGTAAGCTTAAGCTCTAGAGCTGAAGTTTTTGTTTTGTAACTGTCGAACTTCAGCTCTATAGCTGAAGTTTTTGTTTTGTAACTGTCGAACTTCAGCTCTATAGCTGAAGTTTTTGTTTGTAACTGGCGAGTTTTTGTGCTGGAAGAATTATTTGTGCTTAGGAAGGTTGCATGCATGATTATTAAGTTCCAACAACTCGATTTGTCTTAGCTTCTGAATCTTTGCCACCAAAAACATGCGACAATCCAAAATTTGATATTTGAGGTTCATTACCGTCTAGAAGAATATTGTTATTCGCCTCCAGATCTCTATGGATAATATTTATCCTTTATGAAGATAAAGAAGCCCCTTGGGCAATGATAAAGACATGAATCCTCATTAATCTAGCATTTCTTTAATTTTTGTTTGAATCTGTCAATTCCTTTGTTAGTAATCGAGAGACCAGGAAGAAAGTGTTCATTTATATAGTATCACTGCATGGGAAGAACGTCCTAAGGTTCTTAGCTGAGATTCTCCTGTATATGATTTGAGAGAGTTGCAAAGCAATGAGGAGGAGAAAGGGGGCTGAAGTTATTTAAAAAGTGGGTACAAGTTAAAAGTTTTAAAAAAAATTGGTATAAGTTAAATGGGGGCGACCAAATAGGGCGCCCCGTGCAATTTAGACAGGTTAAAGGGAATTAGGCCTAATGATCTTTTTGATAATTTCATCCATGTTTTTAGGGATTTTTTCATTCTTATACATTATTTGAAATCTTATTACGAAAAATGTCCATGTTTTGATATTTACCCGACCTAAACACATTTTAGTTACAAAATATATACCATCCTATCTACAACTTTCCAAGCAGCTAAATTGTTCACAAGTGGTACAATAAACATCGTTGTCTTCATCCTCCGTTTTCTCTCTACGGTTTTCAGAATTTTCAAATTTGAAGCCTTTTCTCTCTGTCTCTCTCTCCCATTCGGATTTGGATTTTTCGTTTTTAACGTCTCCAAATATCAATGTTGCTGCTTCAATCAGAACCCATGAATCCTTGTTCCTCTTTTAGTTCCCCAATTTCGTGTAATTCTTTGCTCGTTTCAGAAACCCCATCACTCTCAAGCTGGAAATTTTCTATAATTTCCTCTTTGATATTCCCAAATGGTTCCTCTAATAATATAAACGAAAGATATTTTTATGTGGCCTGGTATACTCCATGAACTGTCTATCACGCAATTCTTATTTTTTTAACTTTTTTTTGTTGGTTACTTGGTCTATATACTGACTTTGCTGCGACACTTATCTACAACTTTCATATATTATTTCTAACTAGTTAAATATAACTATAATATTATACAATTTAAATATAATTTTTATATATTTTTATACAATATGTTTTTTATATATTTTGTATCTGATTTATACATAGTAAAAATAAATTTCATACAACTAATTATATATTATACAACTTATTTACAATGTTCATACATTATTTCAACTCAATTATATACAACTACAATATCATACAACTTGAATACAATTTTTATACAATATGTTCAACTTTCATACAATCTTTAAATAAAATATATATTATAGTTATATATATATATATATATATATATATATATAAACAACAGAATACAATTTTTTTTACAATTTTACTACAACTTTACTACAATTTCTGCAGTATAATGTATGTCATTTCTTCTTCTTCTTCTTCTTTGAGTTTCAATCTGCAATTCAGCCAAAATCAAGTGTAATCTTCACCAAAACACCCTCAAAATTGATATATAAACTCCAAACAATATTCCCAATTGTTTGCAACAACACCCAATCCAAACAAATAATGATTTTTGAAAATTTAAATTCGAATTCAAAGCTTCAAAGCTTTTTAATGGTTGTCAATGGCGGAATTGCTGCTCTCCTTTCCTTTGATTTACATTACTGGAACTAGGGATGGAGAGATAGAGAGAGACGTAGAGAGAATTCTCAATTTTTTGCAACAACACCCAATTCAAACAAATAATGTTTTTTGAAAACCCAAATTCAAATCAAAGCTTCAAAGCTTTATAATAGTCGTCAATGGTGGAATCGTGGGTGAGTGCAAGATACGTGGGGAAGGGGGTGGGATGTGGAGAGAGAAACATGGGGTGAGTGGAAGATATGTTAGAGTTATTTTAGGACACTAATTATTATCATTAATTCCCTTAAAATGTACTAAATGGTAATTAGGTATATAAAATGTAATTATAGTAAAATTTGAGTCGGGAGGATAATATAGTTTCATATAGTGTATAATTTCATGTTTTTATTTAGAAGAATTAACCCAAATAGCTGCCCATCTAATCTCTTAAACTAAAAATAGCCCGTAAATATATAATTTATGTATAATATGTGTATAATTGTATATAAATAATGTATAATCTATGTATACCGACTAGAAAAAATATACAGTAAATTTGAACGGCTATTTGTGCAACAATCCCTTTTATTTACTTGGGTCGTTAGGGACATGTCTAGATCTACAACAGATTGAGTAGGTAAACTCAGGGGCCATTGGATTGATTGTGTGCCTCCTTTCGAAATCTCATGTACATTGTCCCGCGAAAATGCCCCGAAGTATCTTTGAATTGGGTAAAAATTGCACGGGGCGTCCAATTTGGTTGTCCCCATTTAACTTATGCCCACTTTTAATTTTTTTTTTTAACTTATACTCATTTTTTAAACAACTTCAGGCTTCTATTTGACAATGATTTTATATGGTGGTTGTGAACATATTTTAATGTAGTTTATGATGTTTTACAATATTGGTGAGCTTGTATGACGCTTTATTTTTTACTATTGCTTAGGATTTCTTCTTCTTTTTCTTAATTGCAAAATGGGTTCATTAAATTTATTGTTGTTTTGACAAATTGATGATTGGGGTTTGTTCCTGATGATATTTGGAGGTTATGTTTCAAATTTGAGCTCATTTGGAGTAGATTTAGGTATTAAATCGTATATTGGATTGTTATAATTCGAAGAACAAATATCTCTTTCTGGTTTGCACTTCAGGTCTATTTCGCCTTAAGTATATAAAAACGTTGGTTGCACTTCAAACCTTTTGGTCTTAAGTGCATCTGAAGTACAATTTTTCACTTTAGACTTATTTGCCTTAAGTGTAGCAAAACATTTGTTGCACTTCAGACCATTGGCAAGTGCATATGAAATGCAATTTTTCACTTCAGATTTATTGGCCTTAAGTGTAGCAAAACGTTGTGTACTTCAGACCTTTTGGCCTTAAGTGCATCTGAAGTCCAATTTTTCACTTCAGACTTCTTGGCCTTAAGTGCATTAGACATTGGATACACTTCAGACCTATTTGGCCTTTAGTGCATCTGATGTGTAAATCACTTCAGAGATGGAATGAAATAAGCAATCAAGTCCGTCTGGACGGAGATCGAGAAAGCCCTATACTCGACCTACAGGACTTATTGGCCTTAAATGAATAAAAATGTTTGTTGTACTTCAGATTTTTTGGCCTTAAGTGCATATGAAGTGCAATTTTTCACTTCAGACTTATTGGCCTTAAGTGCATATGAAGTGCAATTTTTCACTTCAGACTTATTGGCCTTAAGTGCATCTGAAGTGCAAATCACTTCAGACTTATTAGCCTTAAATGAATGAAAATGTTTGTTGCACTTCAGATTTTTTGGCATTAAGTGCATCTGAAGTGCAATTTTTCACTTCAGACTTATTGGCCTTAAGTGCATCTAAAATGCAATTTTTCACTTCAGACTTATTAGCCTTAAGTGCATCTAAAATGCAATTTTTCACTTCAGACTTATTAGCCTTAAGTGCATGACACCATTGGTTGCACTTCAGACCTATTTGGCCTTAAGTGCATTTGAAGTGCAATTTTTTCACTTCAAACTAATTTTTTTTAACTTCAGACTCGATAAGTCTGAAATTGATCGTAAAGTGGGTATGCTTGCAAATTTTTTTACAAAGTGGGTATAGGTTCAGTTGTGACCAAAAACTAGGTATAGATGCAAAAGCCCCGTTGAATTGGAGGCCATTAGTGGACTAGATATGTGGATGTTAGGGAAAGCATAGAATAGGGTAGACAAGATAGATTAGAATTTTCTTTTTCTTTCATTTTGCTTAGGGGTTGTAACAAATATTTTGAACCTCATGTCAGTGTGCTTGCATGTCCAAATTTCATTTATTCTGTCTCTACTTACGTCGATATGAGTCGATGCAAATGATCCTGTCTCAACACAAGACTTGGGGTGCTTAACTAGGGGTGTTCAAACCGAATCGGAAAATCGCACCAAACCGAAAAATCAAACCAAATCGATTAAAAAACCCGGTTAGGTTTGGTTTGACTTGGTTTGGTAGTGAGTAAAAAAACCCGAACCAAACCAACTATAAATATATAAATTTTATTTATATTTTTAAGACTTTATAATGATTTTTTTTTGAAAATGTAGAAATATTTGGGATCCTCTCATGTATTAACCTTGAAACGTAAATTAACGAAAGATTATTGTTAGACGACTAAGAAAATAACTATCATGTGTTACTAAAAAAATTCACCCATTAGAATATTTTAATAGATCATATGTTTGTAAATTTTTTTCCATATTTACTAAACATATATTCACTTATCAAAGCTTTCTCTATAATTTTAACAAAGTAAGATTGAAATAATATTCATGTAACAAAAAACCCGAAAATCCGAAAAACCCAACAAAACCGAACCAATCTAAACCGATATAGTTGGTTTGGTTTGGTTTTGATAAAAATCAAACCAATCCGGTCCATGTATACCCCAATGCTTAACATCTTCCTCCAGCCAACTAAATCTGCTTAATCCGGATATTTCGTCCCTTACCAAGTAAGGGACTCATTTTGGTATTTCAAAAGGGATTTTACTTTTTCAATAAACAAGTTTTTCGGTTAAGGCGATCTACACCATTCCAGTGTCATATTTTTGTTGCTTTCAAATAAAATCCCCTTATTTTTTATAAATAGCTTTTTAGTAAAGAAACACGTTGCTTAAAGGGTGTATGACATGGGGCACTCGGCCATCCAATACTATCATGCAGTTGGTACATGAAAGAACATAAACACCAAGATTGCTCGAAAGTATTAAAGTAAGCATCATCAGGAGATGTCATGAAGTGTGTATATATATATATATATATCATTTAAGCAAAAGTTATTGGGTTCGTCCGAACCCGTCGCCAATACTCTCCGCCCTGCTTCTATACAAGGCTTATCGTGCAACTTGTAAGCATGGGCGGATTTAGGGGGCTGGAAGGGGGTTCCGAACCCCCTTCGCCGAAAAATTACACTGTACATATAATGCAAAATCTGTTTTTACCTCTATATATTAAGTTTTGAATCCTTTCGATACAACTCAAAAGTGTGGCTTAGTGGTCAAGAGATTCAAAACTTTTGTAAGGTCATAGGTTCAATTCCTACTAGCTACAATCTTTTTTTTTTTTTGAACTCCCTTAGCAGTGATCCTGGCTTCGCCACTGCTTGTAAGGATTCTCTTTCGAGCTGTTGAGTGTTGTTTCGTGTCTTCCTCCATTTTAACTCCACAATTTGGACTTCAAACATGTTGAACATGTCGTGGAGTCCCTCTTAACGCTTTAATTTGATTCTGTGTGGTACAGTGGTAGCCATCTACTTTTTTTTTTTTTTTTTTTTTTTTTTTTTTTTTTTATAGAGTGTAGCTTGGGTCGACGTTCAGCTTGTGAGATAATGGAAGGATCAATCCTGATGTATTTTGAAATAAAATAATTGTCTAGCTAATATCCATAGGTGGAGGTAGTTAGATAAAAGTGACATTTCTACTATCAAGTACCCAATTATCGGTACTTTATCTTCCCCCACATTTTGGTCCATGTTGCGTCCTTTTTATTCCCCAATCTTTATAATGTAAATAACTTTCATTATTAACTTGTAGGAGTATCAAGTGAAAACATAATTTTTGAAAATTGACAAGAAATTAATATTTAATAGGTGATGATAGTTATAGAAAGTAGAAAAGTGTACTATACTGAAAAGGTATTGATTATCCACAAAGTAAGAAAGTGTATTGCAATGAAAATATCAATTTAATTCTGGCTCTCACCGCGTAGACCTATAGTTACTTGAAATATGAGAAAAGTTTGTATTTAAACTGGATCTTTTTGGTATTTTAATATTTTGATTGCTTTTGGGGTAATCTAACTAGATAATACTTTTCAAATTCTAAAATTTTTCTTGATACTCCAACAAGTTAATAATGAAAGTAACACATTATAATGATTTTAAAAAACATGTACCTTATGTAGAGGGAGATAATATTTGGTAGCAGGAATGTCATTTTCATCTAATTACCACTCTCTATTGGTAATAACTAGGCAATTTTATATTCAAAGTTTATATAAAAATCTCAACCACTATTGGTGGTAGTTATACAATTATTGTAATTAAAAGATATATCATAGCATGTTTGGCCAGGCATCTAGATCTCCTTATTTTGGGAAATGCTTTTCGAAAAATATACTTTTAGAAATTAGTAGTTTGTGGTTGGCTAATCAATTTGCAAAGCACTTTTGAAAACATTAGAGCATGTGTTTGGTGACTCTTTGTGCACATTGAGCAAGATTGCCCTTGTTTATTTCCATTCTCAGGTATCATAATTTGATGTTGCTTTAGTTTGCTGACTATATTTATATGCAGGCATATGTTATACAGCAAGGGGAGTTTGAGTCTCTCCATCAAGACCTGATTTCTGGTTTTGTAAATTCTAATTTGTTAATCATTTAACTAACAATAAAGCCTCTGTTCACTGTGGCAAGGTGCTGAAGATGAAATTGTGCCTAGTGGCATAGCCAAATACAAACTTTGTCAGAAAGTTATATTGCGTAAATAGGATAATACATATATAAAATTTTGAATTCACTTCTCTCAAGAGAAGTACAAGTTCTGAAATCTCTTGTGTGGAATTTTGGATTTTTAATTTTGATTACATTGCATCTCCTTTTCCCAGCAATTCCCAAAATTAAAATATAAAAATCTCAGGTTTAGATCCTCTATTGTATATGTTTAATCCTAGATTATGCGTCTACTGTATTTGTTGATGAGATCTGAACTCCCAAGTTAGGAGCCTTGACGTAACTGGTAAAATTATTGTCATGTAACCGAAGGACGATCAACTGGCAAGGCCTAATTTCAAAATTAGACCAAAGGAGGGTCATTTTACTTGGAATATAGGTTGAATTTCAAAATTACTTATAGTTTTGTCGAGAACTATAATTAACCTTTTTTTGAGAGTTGAACTGACATCCTCACAGAGGTATATAAAATTAGGCCTAGATAGGCTTTCTTCCTATCATCATGTACAGTAATGGTTTTTACCATTTTCAAAATTGTTTCTGGGGGCTAGGTTATATCCTTCCCTATGTAATTTTCGAGTATGATATTAGCCTGTTTCAACACTGAAACTTAGATGCTTTTGACATTTTTTGGTTTAAAAAAAGTAAGAAACGAAGACATTAGCCTGTTTAGCCAAGCTTAAAAATCAGCTTATTTTGAGAAGTATTTTTTCTTGTTGAGCTGTAGATGCAGCGGATGGAAGATCTGGAAGCTTTTTAGAGAGAGAAGACTAAGAAAAGATATTTTGGAAATGAAAATTATGTGTATTGCATTGATGTACCGTACAAACTTATAAACATACACACATGTAACTCTTGAACTATTGTAACTAACAACTAATCTAACAGCTAAGCAATTTATTGGAACTAATCCATTAATGCATAAATACACAGCTCAATACCCCTTAAAAGGAGACATTTTCTCAATTTTTGTTATAGCTATTGCAGCCGCTGAAGTAGCCATTGGACTGGCTATTGTTTCATCAATTTACCGTAACAGAAAATCAACTCGTATCAACCAATCAAATTTGTTGAATAATTAGTATTAATCATCTAGATTCTAATATTGATAAATCGATTTTAATTAGCATGTTTGCTACGTAAGGTGTGATCTTGTTTGCAAAACATAAGAAATCAAAGTATTTTGGCCCTCTCTCATATCTCATAAACCAATCCAGAAGGGGGTTGATTAGAAAATTATGATAACTCATTGATTCATCTGGTATATAAATATATGATTATATGATTCGTTTCTAAGTTTACTAGATCGAAAATTTCTAACATTCAAAAACGTATAGACCCAATGTCACATTCAGTAAAGATTTATGATACGTGTATAGGATGTACTCAATGTGTCCGAGCCTGCCCCACCGATGTATTAGAAATGATACCTTGGGACGGTTGTAAGGCTAAACAAATTGCNAAAAAATGTATAGACCCAATGTCACATTCAGTAAAGATTTATGATACGTGTATAGCATGTACTCAATGTGTCTGAGCCTGCCCCACCGATGTATTAGAAATGATACCTTGGGACGGTTGTAAAGCTAAACAAATTGCTTCTGCTCCACGAACANACCTTGGGACGGTTGTAAGGCTAAACAAATTGCTTCTGCTCTACGAACATAGGACTGTGTTGGTTGTAAGAGATGTGAATCCGTCTGTCCAACAGATTTCTTGAGTGTCGGAGTTTATTTATGGCATGAAACAACTCGCAGTATGGGTCTAGCTTATTGATACGTTCGAGAAAACTCTACTTGAATCCATTAAATTTTTTTTACCGACAAACCTGTGCTCGAAAATCACAATATTTTGAGCACGGGGTTTTATGGTCCAAGTGTATCTTGTCTTTACTACGAATTATTTTCCTTGGTTAACAACAATTGTAGTTTTACCAATATTTGCGGGTTCCCTAATTTTCTTTCTTCCCCATAAAGGAAATAGGGTAATTAGGTGGTATACCATATGTATATGTATNAGCCCATTATCCCCCCCACACACATGGTTACCAGATACCCATGGAGAAGCACATTACAATACTTGTATGCTTCTAGCCGAAATTTTATTAAAAATGGGAGCGTATGGATTAATTCGAATCAATATGGAATTATTACCTCATGCCCATTCTATATTTTCTCCTTGGTTGATGATAATAGGTACAATACAAATAATCTATGCAGCTTCAACATCTCTTGGCCAACGGAATTTAAAAAAAAGAATAGTCTATTCCTCTGTCTCTCATATGGGTTTCATAATTATAGGAATTAGTTATCTAACCGATACGGGACTTAATGGAGCCCTTTTACAAATAATATCTCATGGATTTATTGTGCTGCACTTTTTTTCTTGGCGGGAACGACTTATGATAGAATCCGCCTTGTTTATCTTGACGAAATGGACGGAATAGCTATTCCAATGCCAAAAATGTTTACGATGTTCCGTAGCTTTTCGATGGCTTCCCTTGCATTACCAGGTATGAGTGGTTTTGTTGCCGAATTGATAGTATTTTTTGGAATAATTACCGGCCAAAAATATCTTTTAATTCCAAAAATATTAATTACTTTTGTAATGGCAATTGGAATGATATTAACTCATATTTATTCATTATCTATGTCACGCCAGATGTTCTATGGATACAAGCTATTTAATGCCCCAAAAGATTCTTTTTTTTATTCTGGACCGCGAGAGTTATTTCTTTCGATCTCCATCTTTTTACCAGTAATAGGTATTGGTATATACCCGGATTTCGTTCTTTCATTAGCAGTTGACAAGGTCGAAGTTATTCTATCTAATTTTTTTATAGATAATTTGGATGACTGAAATAAAAAAAAACCTATGTTTGTTTTGAAAAACATTCTTGGACAATGAAAAAAAGAAGATTTTTTTCTTCTCTTAACTCTTAAGCTAAGTAAAAACAATGAAATTGAACTACATATGGTAGAAAAACCGTNTGTGTGAATCATCAATACAATATTTCATTCACACGGTCCACACGCTGGTTCATACAATGCGCAGCCCGCTCTTGTATTTGTAATAACTTGTCTTGAATTCAATTAAATGTTGATGGAAAAGAACCATAACTATGTAACCCTATTCCTAAAAGATTGACCCCAAAATAGTATATCCAAATTATAAGAAAGCCTATAGACGCTACAATTGCATAATTTGCACCCCGCAAATTTTTATTTGTTCGAGTATGTAAATAAATTGCAAGTACGATCCAAGTAATAAATGCCCAAGTTTCTTTTGAATCCCAATTCCAATACGACCCCCACACTTCATTAGTCCATACCGCTCCCAAAAGGATTCCTATGGTTAAAAAAGTAAATCCTAAACTAATAACCTGATAACTCCAATAATCCAATTGTTGAATCAATTGGGACTTGTAATAATTTTTAGCAGAAAAAAAAGAAGTATTTTGTAAAATTGTGACGACCCAAAAGGGTCATCACCCGTTTCTAATTGAAATCTGTGTCTCCGAGGCCCTGAAAACCTCATTTAGAGTCACCTCTATTTGTGTGCGCAGTCCGGACGCGTAGCCGGAAAGCTTAAATGTGAAATCTTGTGAAAATTGCTAAGTTTTGACCTCGAAATGAATAAGTTTGACTTCGGTCAACATTTTAGCTAAACGGACCCGGACCCGTGATTTGACGGTCCTGGAGGGTCCGTAGGAAAATATGGGACGTGAGCGTATGCCCGGAATCGAATTTCAAGGTCCCATGCCCGAATTATGAATTTTTAAGTGAAATTGTTTTCTGAAAAAGGTTTAAAGAAAATTGAAATGAAATCTGATGTGAGAGTAATGGTATCGGGACTGTATTTTGGTTCCGACGCCTTGTACAGGTCTTATATATGACTTGAGTCATTCCTGTGAAATTTGGTTAAAAACGGACGTCGTTTGACGCGATCCGGACCCTAATTGGAAAATTGATGTTTAAAAGGAAATCTGAGAAATTTCATCGATCTTGAGGCTCAATTCGACGTTCATGATGTTATATCGGTGATGTGATCACACGAATATGTTCGTAGGGTGTTTTTGAGGTAGTNATTTTCACTTCTTAACATCTTTTAACATGATTTCAACTTCAAATCAAAGATTATCATGGAAAAATTGGGTGATTTGGGTAGAACCTAGGTTTTTCTAAAATTGGGGATTTGGACCTCAATTTGAGGTCCGATTTCAAAGCAAACGATATATTTGAATTTGTGGGGGAATGGGTAATCTCCGGTTTTGGTTCGAACCTCGGGTTGCGACCACGTGGACCGGGGGTGAATTTTTACTTTTGGATAAAACTTTGGAAAACTCATTTTCATGCATTGGAGTTGATTCATTCAGCATTTATTAAGGTGATTAAGTAACTTATGACTAGATTCGAGCGGATTGGTGGTGGAATTAAGAGGTAAAGCTATAATTGAGACTTGAGTAGTGTTCAAGATATTGAGGTAAGTGTTTGGTTTAACCCTAGCTTGAGGGATTATGAGTCGAATCATATTTTCTACTTGCTTCTTGTTGAGTACGACGTATATGCATGGTGACGAGTATGTATACGTTGGTGTCAAGCATGACCGTGGGTCTTAACTTGAAAGTTGTTGTGTTTTTGAATGACACCTTGTATACATTGATTAATGATCCTCTATGATTAAGTATTTCCATTAATTGAACTGAGTACTAGCAAAGTGAGATTGGTTATAGCTGATTCTCCCTTGCCGGGATGATTATTTCAATATCCTTGTTCCCTTGCCGGGAAGTTATTATATTACTTATGTTCCCTTGCCGAGATTTCTTGTGATTGTGTGATGAACTGAATTGGGAGCGGGTGGTACGCCTACCACAAGATATTATGAAATAGGAGCGGGTGGTATGCCTACCACAAGATATTATGAAATGGGAGCGAGTGGTACACCTACCACAAAATTGATGAAATGGGAGCGGGTGGTACGCCTACCAAAAGATATTATGAAATGGGAACGGGTGGTACGCCTACCAAAAGATATTATGAAATGGGAGCGGGTGGTACGCCTACCAAAAGATATTATGAAATGGGAGCGGGTGGTACG